AGCTATACATATATTTATAAGGAAAATATTTCCATATATTTTTCACACATACATCTAGACACACATATATTTATAAGTACATTCTCCCCACTTTTTTTTGTACCAGGGATTGACCCCAGTCCTTTATTAAATTTTTTAAAATTTTGAGGCAGGGTCTTACTAGGTTGCTTATAGTCTCGCTCAATTGCTGAGGCTGGCTTTCAACCTGAGATCTTCCTGCCTCAGCCTCCTGAGCTGCTGGGATTAAAGGCATGTGCCACTATGTCTGGCCATTCCTTGTTCTGAAATGATTCATTATCATTGCCACGTGTTTTTCTAAATGTTGAAAAAATGTTGAACAGAGAAGTGTCTGATTTGCATTATAGATTGTGTGTATGTGTGTGTGTGAGTGTGTGTGTGTATGTATTTGGGTGAGTCGGGGTGGTATAAAGTGTGCTTCCAGGTGAAAAAGAGTCAGACTGGGGAGGAGGGACCTGTGGATGCTACAGAACATTTTTGTGGAGGAATTTCTAAATCTTGTCAGCACTACCTCTTCCAAAGGACCTTTCACTTCTCTTGTAGGTAATACACACTTGGGGTTATTTAGAATGAAGGGCCTTGTGTATTTCATTTTGATTGTGAATTTAATAAGAGCAATAAAGTTATTACACATTTAAAATGTGATGATGCCAGTCAATATTGGTGGAACTAGAAAGGGGATCAAGATTATGTATCTTGCTTCAAAATTTGAATTCATTCCTTCCTATAAAGTCAGTGTTCCAAGGAAGGATTTCCCATGAATTTCCATTTCCTGATTAAGTTTGCCTAAGTGTACTTGCTTTGTACTCTGCAGAGGGAGTAAAGTGCATCTGCAATCAGCTTTCCCTCACTACAAAGATGGACGCGGAGCACCCTGAACTCAGGACTTACGCTCAGAGTCAAGGCTGGTGGACGGGAGAGGATGAGTTCAATTTTTCCCAGATTTTTTCTCCAGCTGATGACCACCCAGACAACTGTGCAGGCAAAGACAGCTTAGAAAAGCAAGAAGGTGAGTCGGGCTGTCCTTTAGGATTCTCCTTCTCACACTTTGCTTGTAGCTATTGCAGAGCACTGGTCTGGATTTGGAAGGATGAAGAGGAGGGGTAGAGAATGGACTTTAGACATAAAGACTACCTTTTACCAAAATTCCCTGGTATCCAGGCTAGGAGACAACTTGTACTTATTTTTACACAATATTTTCTTGCCCATGGAGGTCCCTTGTTTTCACTGATGTTATTTTTTCTTTGAACATTGATGTTATCATGTTGTTCTTTGTGATACTTATTGCAAATAAGTATACTCCTTATAGCTCAGTTATATATTTGGCTTATTTTCTCCTTATAGTTTCCTCTTTTCCACTAGTCGGCTGGGCCTTGAGGGCGGGGGTGTTATCTTTTATTCATCTTAAGATCCTCTTGTGATGCTTACATAGTCCTTTGTTCCATGAACCTTTATTGAGTAGAAGTGTCTTGAATTCTCTTCATCAACCCTCTCTCTGCTACCAGTTACTGACTTAATCAGAATCCATATTCAGGTAAGTGTGTTGATTAGATAGTTTACCATTTTTGTGCCAGAGAGGAAACTTTTCCAAGAAACCCACACTGGTCACATTTTATCTTTGCTAGTTATATATGTATTTTGCAAGTCGAACTTTTTTTTTGAACTCAGGGGCACTCAATCACTGAGCCACATCCCCAGCCCTATTTTGTATTTTATTTAGAGACAGGGTCTGAGTTGCTTAGCACCTGGCTTCTTTTTTTAAAAAAAAAATATTTATTTTTTTAGTTGTAAGTTGGACACAATATCTTTATTTATTTATTTTTATGTAGTGCTGAGGATTGAACCCAGGGCCTCACTAATAGTAGGTGAGTGCTCTACTGCTGAGCCACAACCCAGTCCTAATGCCTCGCTTTTTTGCTGAGGCTGGCTCAGTAATCCTCTTGCCTCAGCCTCCTGAGCTGCTGGAATTACAAGCTTGGTATAAATTAAACTTTTGATCCATTAAAACTGGAGTCAGCAGATTACATCCTGCAGCAGCTGCCCGTTTTATATATAAAATTTAATTGGAACAGACACACTCTGTTGGTCATCTTTTTGTCACTGTGACAAAATATCCGAGATAAACAACTTATAAGGAGGAAAGATTTATTTTGGCTCATAGTTTCAGAGGTTTCAGTCCATGGTCAGTTGGCTCCATTGCTTTTGGGAGTGTGGTATGGTAGCACATCAACATGAGAGCACATGGCAAAGACATAGCTCACCTCATGGCAGCTAGGAAATGCTTGTTTGGGAGGGGTGACGGGGAGGGGCTAGGGTCTCAATATCCTCTTCAAGAGCACACCCTCAAGGATCTAACTTCCTTCTACTAAGCCCCACCTCCTAGTAGCACTGCAGGGGGAACCAAGCTGTCAACACAAGGGCCTTTCTGGGATGTTCAGAATCCAAGCTGTAGCACACACCTGTTATTTATGTGTTGTTTATGTCTGCCTTCATGCTGCACTGGTGAATTTGAGCCATTGCAACAGGGAAGTTAAAATGAGACCATATGGTCCATAGGCCTAAAATAATCTCTACCTGGTCCAAGTTTCCTTTTCTCTCATCTAGAAGAATACTTTAGGGCTTTTGCTGTAAAACTTAAGTCATATATTCTGGATAGGAAGGTAAGAAAGTATGTATTTTAAAATGAGAATTTGAAAAAGAACTTCTAAAGATTTTTAATGAAATCAAAACTAGCTTGATGAAAGTTGTTCAGTAGTTCGTAGCATAACAGTATCCTTAAATCTGATGAAACTTCTGGTTATGGGAAACCTCTAGGTTATAGGAAATGCACAGGAGAGAGGAACATCTTCAATTCCACCAGGGGGATGCCACGTGCAAGTCCAGCTTGTGTGAAACTCTACAGGAAGAATGACCTGATTTCTATGACAAATAAGGTGCAAGAAGACAAATCAAGAGGCAGAGATTAAAATATTCAAGAGATATTGCCAACCCATTGGATTCTGATTCAAATCCTACACCAGGACTGGAGATGTAGTATAGTGGTAGAGCCCATGCTGAGCGTTCATTCTCAGGGCCCCGGGTTCCATCTCCAGCCCTGCAATCCCCCACAACAAACAAATGAAAAACTCCAAATCAATACCTAATTTTTGAGAAAGTAAGAAAATTTGAACATTGGATAGTTAAAAAAAAAAGTCAAAGACATTTTAAATATTTTTAGTTGTGACTTGTTATAGAGATTTATAAAGAGGATATGCATTGTGCTAGCAAATTCTCTCCCTGTGTGATGTTTTGATTCTGTCTTTGTGAACACAGACTGAAACAGCCTTTTAATGAATTATAACCAGAGAGGAGCCTGTAGATGTGGGATCCCATACAAAGATTTTTTTGTTTTTGTACCGGGGATAGAACCCAGGGATGCTTAACCACTAAGCTACATAAAATATAAGCCCCATTCTTATATTTTATGTAGAGACAAGGTCTTGCTAAGTTGCTTAGGGCCTTGCTAAGTAGCTAAGTCTGGCTTTGAACACACGATCCTCCTGGGTCAGCCTCCTGAGCTACTGGGATTATAGGCATCTACCACCTTGCCTGGCTCAAGGATTTGTTTATTCATTCATCTGAATTCAGAGACAATAATCTTAAAGCCTTCAAATATTCTAAATGCCTCTCTGTGTGTATATTTTTGACTGTAGGGTGGTCATTCTCCAAATTTAGTATTGATCCCAAACAGCACTAGCTTGGGAGTCTTGTTTCCAGACTGCATACACTTCCTAATGGATATATATTGAGTTATTGTACTAGTTGAGATATAGCTAAGTGCTGTAACAGAGAGACTCCAAATTAGTGTGGCTTGAAGAACACGGAAGTTCTTCCTTTCCCATGTGATAGTCCAGATGTATATGGATAGTCTAGGGCTGGACCTCCATTTGTGGTCTGATTGTTGGCATCTCCCAGCAAGCAGGAAGGGAGAAAAATGAAAGGCAAGGATGTGGATGTGTCCAGGAAGTTGCACATACCATTTCTACTGACCTCCCATTGGTCAGAATTGACCACAATTAGTGACTTAGTCACAAAAGAAAAGACTTAGTCACAAAGAAAGCAGGGAAATGCATTCTGTCATTGAGTGGTTATGTTCCTATGTATAATTTCAGGGGCTTATTAATGTAAAAAAGAAAGGAGTGAATGGGTTTCGGTTAACAACGTGCCACAGTTATATCCCCGCTATCCATCTCTCTCTTTTTCAGAAAGCATCACTGTACAGACAATGATTGACATCTTACGGGACAAAGCCAGTGGAGTCTGCATAGACTCTGAATCTTTCCTCACCACAGCCAGTATAGTGTCTGTCCTGCCTCAGAACAGAAGCTCGCCGTGCATTCACTACTTCACTGGGACCCCAGATCCTTCCAGGTTTGTTCAAGATACAGTCACAGAGAGAAAGCATGTGTATCCCAGTGTGCTCATGCTGGCCGTGTCCTCCCCATGGGTTGCTAAGTCACAGTTTTCAGTCTGTTTCAATGTGAGCTGCATAGCACAGGAGCTTTGATTAAGTGGAGTGCCTGGTATAGTCACATGGTGGTTATTAAGGTTGCAGAATTGTGTTTTAAATTTATCAAATAGTTACTGAGAGTGTAATGGGCCAAATATTGTGCTATTTGGATATAGGGATGCAGAGATGAACAAAAGACAGACAGACAGACAGACAGACACACACACACACACACACACACACAAGACTTATTAAAAGAACCAGCTCCTATGCATTATTGGACAAAATGTGTCAGAGGTGATATAGATTGAAGCAGCTTTCATTAAGACGTTGTGTTTTAGGGAGGTACTTTTTTTTTCTCCCAAATACTTTAGCAAAAAGACAGCATTGCACAGTAGCTAAGAACACAGCCTCTGGAATAACTGGTCAGGATTTGGAATCCCACTTCTGTCACCTAGTATCTGTATAAGCTACTTAGCCTCTCTAAGTTCCCGTTCCTATAATTGTGCAGTGGGAATAATACCAGTCCCTACCTTTACACGCTTGTTAGGAGGATCACATGAGATGATCCAGGTAAGTACATGGTAGGCTTAACTATTATTATTACTAATTAATTATTATTATTATTATTATCATTATTATCATTATTATTGGTGCTGGGGATAGGGCCTTGAGCATACCAGACAAGCACCCTACCCACCAAGCTAAATCCCCAGCCCTTAATAATTATTAATGAGGGCTCTCTCTGACCTACCAAGCAGACAGCTACCCCATCTCCTTTAATGTTCAGCTGTGCATACCACAAGTGACATCATCAGTGGCTTAGAGGCGACCATTGAATGCCTTCATTCACTATTATAATAACTACATTCACTATTACTATAGCTTGCAGGGGGTGGGGGAGTTTTTGGGCAAAGATGCCTTGACCCAAACCTTTTATATCAGAATCTTCAGGTGGACCTTGAATCTGTCAGGTACGTCTGATCCTCAGTATGAAAAGCCCTAGAAGACTGCCTACAGCAATTGTTTCTCAGGTGTTTTTCAGGTGTTCCACTGACCATTATGATTTTTTGAATATCAGTTGTTAAACCTTTGAATTCACTACCAAAGAACCTGCAGCTGTTAAAATTTAATTCCTTTAGATGCTGAAAATATTTATTCTCCTCTTGATTCAGGAATATGAGACAAGGATTGTGTCTATCAAAGGACTCTTTTTTTCCTCCCTTCCTTCTGTCTTTCTCTGACTTAGATGACTCAGGGGGAAAGCCAAGCACTTCTGATCCGATGGCCTCTTTTTTAAACTATTGCCAATATCAGTAGAACTTTCTAACACCATATGAAACTATTGAATTTAGTGTAAACTATTCTTTCTCTTTTAATCTTTATTTTATTTATTTATTTTTATGTGGTGCTGAGGATCAAACCCAGGGCCTTCTACATGCTAGGCAAGTGCTGTATCACCGAGCCACAACCCCCACCCAACTATTTTTAACTTTTCATTCACTCAACAAAAACTTGTTAAGCACCTACTGCATACCAAATATTGTGCTTGTTCAGTACTAGGGGTGAGGTGTGTGTACAAGAAAGAGGTGGCACAGATGTGGTGACACAGGGAAGAACTTTGCAGAGGAGAGGTGAGCGCTGTGGGAGAAGTGAGAGTTTATTAGGTACAAAAAGCAGTAATGGCACTCTAGGTAGAAGAACTGCCTGTACAGAGGCACAGAGGCATGAAGGGGCGGAACACAGGTTGATGGGCGCGCTTCCTCTTTAGATGAGGCTGGGGATCAGGTTTCTATCTCTTCCTCCTCCCACCCTCCATAAACAAGCCCAGCCACCCTCACAGGGTCCCTAAAGGCCAGCTTCAACCACTCTGCGGTGTTCTGGGTTCTCCTTCTTTTTGATTCCAGCTGATTTTTCTTGGGTTGATCTCTCAGTTCTGAACACTTGGTTCCATGGGCCCACCTTCCACCTACAACTTGGTCCCAGAATTAGGGCTCCTACCACCCTCCCTGCTGACGGACTGTGGCTTGTTTTCTCCCCTATCACTGATGTCTTGGAGGTATCTTGTGAGGACTCTGCTGGTCTGTGGGGTACACAGGGCATTTAGGTTCTATTTTGAAGCATCTGGAATGTTCTGCTAAGATATTTGGACATTATTCTTTAGGAAACAGGAGTGGGTTGAATTGAACCAACTCTCTTGTCTCTAAAGTCTCAGATACTTGCTTTAACCTCTCCTTAGGACTCAGGGCTTTGTGTTTTCAGGAAACGAATAGAAAGGAATTCTGTTTCCCAGCGTGAAGTTCAGGGCTTAATCTAATTGCAGAAATGGGTTGAGAAATAGCCTTCTGATATTTAAAATGGAAAATTTCAAGTAATTCAAAAAGGAAATTATTCATGGTTAAATTAATTGAAAAGACCTTGTAGAAGATTAAGGCCCCTCCGGAAGACATTCATTTTTATCTTCCCTGGTTAAACGGGCTGCGTCTCCTACCGTGACTGTAGAACTGTCATAGGTTATTTTTTTCTTATTCACATTTCGATGTTTCTCTGTAATTGGGCATGCTCAACATTGTGCATTTTGTCAGCAGGAAGCATAATTACTTACTATCAGGTTTTTGGGTAGTAACACTGAGGAGGGCTTAGCTGACTCCTCCCAGTGCTAAAAATGTTAGAGAGACGTTTTTGGGAGATAGTGTCAGAGTAGTGGACTTTTTTTTTTTTTTTTGAGAATTTTAACATTTATTTATTTTTTCTTAGTTCTCAGCGGACACAACATCTTTGTTGGTATGTGGTGCTGCTGAGGATCGAACCCGGGCCGCACGCATGCTAGGCGAGCGCGCTACCGCTTGAGCCACATCCCCAGCCCAGAGTAGTGGACTTTTTGTGGGTAGGGTACTGGGGATTGATCTCAGGGGTGCTTGAGCCACTGAGCCATATCCCTAGCCCTATTTTGTTTTTATTTAGAGTCAGGGTCTCACTGAGTTGCTTAGAGCCTGGTCATTGCTGAGGTTGGCTTTGAACTTGCCATCCTCCTGCCTCAGTCTCCCGAGCAGAGCTGCTGGAATAACAGGCGTGCGACACTGTGCCTGAACTCTCCTTCCTTCTTATCATGTACCAACTACCTTGCAAGTTTGAGAGTTGGAAAAAGATTACAAAACTCAGAGTTTGAATGATTGAGGGACAGGAAAAGTCATTTAATTAGCTTTGTGGAGAAGGCAAATTCCATCATATTCATATTCCCTTGGGTCAGCTTGTGCCTTGATCACTGATGCAGTGATACCTGATAGACTTCAGTGTATTGGTTCTGACCTTTGGAAGCCATTTTACTGGAAGCTGGTAGTTGTCAAAGCTTCGTTGATAGGAAGAACTGGTAGAGAAAGAATACTTGGAGAGGTGCCTTGCCATTTTGAGACAGGATAAGATGTAGAGTCTTAGAGTGTGCTCGAGGCAAGGAGAGCTGATCGTGGGTCTCTCTGCCCAACTCCATGTTCTGTGATGCCACTATTGTCTTGAAAAGGGCTACAGAGGGTATATAAATACCAAAGAATTCTGCAAATACCATAAATCTGGGCTTATTATTTTTAAAGATGTAGTTGTCAGACCAGTTTAGCACCAAGAGGTTCTTATATACTAACAATCAAAGATATAGGATTGGTAAACCAAAAGGGTTAGAGAAAGTAATTTAAGAACCCTGGGTCATGGTGGATGTCTCCCCTCCCTCTTTTTCTTTCTGAGCTTTCTTTATTTCATTGTCTTCTCCCAGTGCACTACCATTTAGAGGCTAAATTAGATTGGCTAAGACTGTGTCATTTGGATCTTTCAAATCTCAGCTTCGGGGGTTACCTTTTTGTTATTGGAAACCTGGGCATCCTAGGTCAGCCTTGGCAGCCACATCAGCCCTGCCTGCAGATATACAGAGCTGAGAGCCCAAGGCAAATGGCTCCTTCCCCTCCTTTCATTCTGAACTCTTCCCATACTGCTTCTCTCCACCCCATACCTTTGGACTTTCCAAACCTCCCAAGCTTCTGGATCCAAATCTCCATCCCCAAGGTTATCGTATGCTCCAAAAAATTCTCTAAAATTCTCTTCACTGACTGGTTTTGCTCTCAGCCAGGTTTGACTCTGACAATATGATTCAGGTGACATATTGTCACACTAGAGCTGGAACGGCCCATAGATGAACCCCTCAGAAGGAAACCTGCCTTTTGAGGGAAACCAGTTATTATAAATGCCTTTCAGATTGGTTCATGGTGTAGTAGACTTATCTGAACAGGAGCTTGTGTTTTTCTTTCAGGGACTAATGATCCTCAGTGGATTTGTGGGGATTCTGGGTTACAAGACCAGCCTGGTTTCATTGCTGGGGAGTGTCCACATCTTCAGCAAGAATAGAGCCACATTTGTGGCTGGAACTTTGTGGCTGGAATGGTTGACTGGCCACAGATAATAAAATCCCAAGCCCCAGAAAACAAAAAAGTCCTTATTTTTTTGCAGTTACACAATGTATATGAAAAATACCAACAGGATACAAGGTTGGGAAGTAGTTGGGAAAACAGACTTTGGATGTAGAAGGTCTGAGTTTAGTTGTAGGTCCACTATTGGTTAGGAATGTGACTTTGGACAAAGCACTAGGATTCTGTGAGCCTCAGTCATCTCACCTGTAAAATGGGACAGAAGTTTTGCCCTGTGTATTCACTGCTGCCTCCCTAATATTTGTCAGGCACTCAGTCAGACCCAACATATATTTGCTGAATGAAGGACAAATGAACATGAGAAGAGCAGAGCCAGGAGATGCAAATGCAAACACTGAAATCTGTGCTAGGCTGTAAAACTTTATAGAGATTTTCATGATAATTTTTTTGTTCTTCCAAATGAGAAAACAAATTATGGGAAAACAGATTTCTTTCTTTTTTTTTTTTAACACTTGTTTGGTGCATCCACCAGAAGGTTCTGGAAAGAAAAATGGGCAGATAAGGCAAAGGTGCTACCAGTGGAAATGTTTCAAGGCTGTGTTCAAAGTGTCACTCAAGGCTAAACTTCCTGCCCGTCTCTGAGTCAGATCTTGGAAGACCAAGCTGTGCCATGTGTCATGAGGCTGTGTGCCTCAGACCTTAGACCTGTCTTGTTGAGAGCTGAAGGTGGCAAGGTCATGGTTCCCTGTAGTGTTGTTCATGGTCTTGTTGGTTTCAGTGTCCCTCAGTAGACTCTCTTTATTTTATTTATTTTTATGTGGTGCTGAGGGTCAAACCCAGTGCCTCATGCATGCTAGGCAAGTGCTCTACCACTGAGCTACAGCTCAGGCCCCTCAGTAGAGTCTCTTAAAGTACTTTTCTGGCCCTGTGATGCCCTTGGCCATTGGAAGCACTTCCTCCCTTTGGACCTAACATTTTATATTCATGTCATACTATGGAGGGGCTGAATGACCACAGTGAGTTCTGTCTAGGTGACTTTTCTGAAGGCCATCCTCAGAATCCAGCCCTGGACTGTCTGGAGCCTCTCTGCTATGTCCCACGTAGAGCCAACTACAGGACACACTCTGGTTCACTCCACATACACGATGAAGTGAGCCTCTTCCTGGAAAGGTGGTGGAGAGGAGTGGTCACCACCCAGTTTCAGCTTTGACACTAGTTGGATATGAGACACTAGTTGGATAAGTCAAGTCATTTAATATTTCTCGGCTATCAGTTGCCATACATTTCTTCAAGTGGTATTGAAGAGGCTGCCATCTGAGGTTCAAATATGGGAACATGCCAGTGGAACTCCTTATCCATTTGGATTTTTTTTTTTAAAAATTATTAATGGTGTCTTTTTTTATATAACTTTATTTTACTTGTTTATTTTTTTATTCAATGCTGAGGATCAAACCCAGTGCCTCACAGGTGCTAGGCATGTGCTCTACTACTGAGCCACAACCCCAGCCCATCAATTTAGATTTTTCAATGTGTTTTCAAAAAGGATTGGTAAGAAGTCACAATATTTGGAGCCACCGAGTTAGCTAGGTTCCCCTTTTTGGGATATAGTACATAGGTACAAATGATCAAACTTGAATTATAGATAATTTCCAAATTCTCATTTAAATTAATATTAATATTATTGCATTGTATTATCAACAATAATTATATTCCTTATTCTATAAATAATTTTATTTAAAAATTTTTATTATTTATATAATTTATTGAATATCGAAAATTCTTCCTTTAAACACCTTGACAAATTATGCTTTGTGTTTTTAGCAGTTGAGGATGCTGACTTCCTCAAAGAGTATGGAAAGAAGTTTTTGGAACTCTTAGGCTGCTTAAAATATTATGGACACCTGCTCATATTTTTATTTTTAAGATCAAACTGATAGGTGAGAGGTCTGAACATACAGTACCTCTTATTTTAGAAAAGCTGCTAGACGCTGTCATGAATTAATCTCCATATTCCAGTGAGCTTCAACTGGGTTTGAAGTTATATCAAACAGAGCATTTTTTACTACCAGTGTCCTATATATTGGGTGCAGAAGACCGTGACTGTGGGTTGAAGTGGAGTTACAAGTTCACAGGTCTCAGGACAAAGAGAAAATGGCAAGACGGCTTTAGAAATTGGCAAGACGGCTTTAGAAATTGGAAGGGACCACTTTAGTCCAGGTGAGCCCAAGAAAGGGAAAACATCAGCCCCCAGCTGGTCAGAGGCAGAGAGAGTACTCATGCCCCCAGTCCCAGTCCCAGTCTGTTCTTTGTCCCACCTGTCACAAGGCAACTCAGCCCAGCAGGTGCTGCCAAGATGTCTCTTTCTAGCCCCTCTGGCAGGCAAGGTTCTCCCTTGGGGTCAGTGTATCAGAAGAGACACCTGGTGAGCAAAGCACTTAGGTTCCAGAAATATAAAGGCAGATTTCCTTTATATTTAAATATAAAGGCAGGTTACCTTTGTTCTCTAGCACTTAAAGCTGGAGTGTGGGCCTGAAAGAAGTAGCAGGTGAATATCATTGTGGCCTGAGGCTGGGAGACGGGCCTCCTCTCCAAGGGCCCCCCTTGTAGCCAGGGTGCAGTGGGCTCTGCTGGAGCCTGCAACTCCCTTGGCTGCTGGTGCTGGAGCCTGCATCAGTCCCACTACAGAGCCTCACACCATGGGGGGCCATGCTGTCACCGGCTCTACCAAATGCAGAGCCCTGTGACCAAGTAGCTGTGGACTCAGGGGTGGGCTTGGGCCCTCCAGGCCCCTGTCAGCAGAGAGTCTCTATGTTAGTCACAGAGCCTGCCGGCCATTGTGTGGCAACTCCCGTATGATGTACACTGGCTTTTTGGAACACTCTGGGCAGGGCTGGGCTCATTGGCAGAGTGTGTGTCTAGTGAGCATGAGGCCCTGGGTTCGGTCCCCAGCACTGGGAAAAATCAAGAACCCCTCAGAATGCCCCTGGTACTGTCTGGTCCTGCAGGATCTGATAGGACTCTTGCTGGTTGGGATGTAGTTGTGTCATTGGAGACCAGAGGGACCCAGAGACAGCTCTGGATGCCCTTCTGTGCTGGGCACACTCTTTCTCTTCCACTTCCCAGGTAATCAGAATTGGTTTTGACAGTTTGAAGTTTTGTATTAATTCATTTTTCATATCCAACAGTCAGTAGAAGGGAAAAGGAATGATCCATTTCCAAGAAGCTGTAGGGGGTGGAAGTGTGTCTTCCCTCTGTGTAAGTAGCTTCCCTATGTCTTGGGCGACTTCCTTTGATGGTGGCTAAGGAGGGATAGGCCTTGATTCCGCCCAGGTTGGCACGCCTTGTGTTCCCCAGCAGTAGGGCTGAGGAGGGGACCAGTCTCCTATATGAATGATATGTATCACCTGCAGAGGATGGCAGAGTCCCCCACACGCATCCTTAATTAGTACCACTCACTCCATCACCGTGGGGTGCAAATTCTCATTGCCTTTGACATGCAGGTTAAATTAGATGCTGTGATCAGTGTCAGTGCTCTCTCAAGCCCTTTCCTGTGATCACCTCAGGAAACTAACAGAGAGGTTATTTCCCACTACTGTTCTCTATGACTGTGCTTCTCAGACCCAGATGTTATGAATCCCCGGGGATCTTTTTAAAAATGCAGATTCTGCTTCAGCAGGACAGGACAGGGCAGGGATGCTGATGCTGTAAGTCCAAGGACACAGCTGGGGGAGCAAGGGTGACTGATCACCAGTCCTTTTTAGATCATGGTGCACATGGATGTATTTTCAGGGCACAATGGGAAGGTTGCTCTGGCTGCCTCACATCTTAACACCTCTGGGCTGAAAAAGTCAGCATCCAAGCTCACTTCTAACCCAGTGGAGGCTCCTTGGAGTGGGATAGGGTACACCTATGGAAGGGCAAAGAAAAGTCCAAATCTGATAAATTGAAAACACATGAGATGTGCACGTGGCTCACGCTCTCCTATCATTACTGCAGGCGCTGCCCCACGGCTTGGCTGACGTCAGGCCGCAGGTCCAGCAGTGCCCATGCCTACCAGGAGTGCCCCTCTGCCCAGCAGTGTTTTCTCTGGGTGTGGAGAGGGGAGAATAAGTGTCCTTCCCAGCATTCATCAGCTGTGACACTGGCCTGGAATGCCAGGCCACAGCTCTTGACATGCATGGCTCTCTTGGGGTGTGTGTGTGTGTGATGACGATGTGTGCAAGCCATGCATAAGGATATTCACACATGCCTGCCTGCCAGACATCAGTCCTGCCAGAAGAGCTGGATCAAAGAATAAAGGGGCATTGGCCCCTCACTCTGCCCAGCACCTGCTTTCACACAGCCAGATTTCTGCTTCTCTGCAGGTGTCCCCTCTGGG